GATGACAGATAAATCTTATAAAAATTGTATATTAAAAGTGTATAATTATGTAACATGTGGCAAAATAATACACTTTAAAAGAAATTCTTGGTATCTAGAAAAAGAACAGCCACAGCTGGATCTGATGAAGAGAACAGAGTATCACTTGGAGACCCTAGCTTTTTGTTGAGATAAGGACTAGATGGGAATTGGATTTGACTCTCTTGAGAGGAGACTGAGAGTGTTCTCTATGTGGAAAGGAGGGTAAAACAAGTAAATGATAATCAGAACAAGTATAGTGGAAGAAACTGATTAGCAAATCCATTTTCTTTTCTTTTTTTATTATTACATTTATTAAAGTTATTGGGGAGACATTGGTTAATAAAATCAAATAAGCTTAAGTATACAGTTCAACAATATGTCATATGTATATATTGCATTGTGTGTTCACTACCCAAAGTCAGATTTCCTTCCATCACCAAATATTTGACCCCTTTTACGGCTACCTACCTCTCCCCTCCACCATTCCCTATTTTCTTTTCATCCTATACACACAGCCTACCTTTTCTGTAGACTATAGTCAAATGACGAGTTAAGATTTAAAGTAATATGTGTCACTTACATATCTAGCTCATAAGCACCTCACATAAGAAACCCCCTGTGACCTTTCCACTTCTAGCTTGATCCAAATTAAAACACAATATCTGAAGAAAGTCATGTGCAGAAAATGCATGAGTGACAATTTGGAAAGAGTCTGGGACTCTGGATCATCAATTGGAATGAAATAGTCTTTCAGTTAGGAACATGTGCTTTATATTTATTGTAAAAGAGAACTAAATTTTTATTACATCAATACACTAAAATATTGGGGATTATCTCTAAATTCAGTGTTCTTGTAAACAATATACACATGTGATGCAAAAAAACCTCTTCAACTGTATACAGTTAATTATTGGGTCTATTTCTCAGTATAGGCACATGGATACTTAGGCTTAAGAATTTTAATCATTCTATGTGCAATGAGAAGTTATTTATAAATGTTAAGTGGAGAAAGTGTGTGTGTTTAGGATAGTAGTATAAAAATCAGTCTGGTGTCTATGTGAAAAAAATGAATTAGGAGACTGTGTTAGCAGATGCAGATTGTGTAGTTAGAAGGTTATTTAATAAGCCTAGGCAAGAGAATCTACCTTGGATTTTAGGACTAATAGTACAGATAGAAAGAATGACATCTAAGACATCTTTAGTAGATAAAATCTAGAGGCAATGGTCAAAACAATGGAACTTCAAGAGGAGTTAGTGTCATGGATGTGTTCCTGGTTTACGGCTTGTGTAAATACATGTTTGGTGACCCTATTCCCCGAGACAGAGAACACTGGAAGGATAATAGGTTTGGGAGTGGAATAGAAGAATATTTTCATTTCAGATTTGGACATGTTAATTCTAAGGTATCTTTGGGATTTCCAAGTGGACAAGTAAAGTAGGTAGTTGGGCAACGGCACCATTAAAAGAAATAAGAGAAAAAAAAAAATCATATTCGAAACTCAGTCCAGTGACGTTTTATAAACATGCCCCTTCAGTGAAACCTAAAGATACAATGTGTCATTTTAATTGTTATAACTAACTGTATGTGGATGATTTAATGATTAGCTCACAATGCCCAGTAGAACAACTTTGACTTCATCCTACTGGGAATCCTGCAGAAGCATTAAGGGAATTTCAAAATTTTTTAAAGAATGGGTTTGCAAATAGAAGGAAGAAATGCTATCTCCCTCCAATTTGGAGTTTCCTAAGAAAATCAATGCACAAATAATATTGCTCTATTTCTGTACCTATTATGCTGCTTTGAGAAACCAGAACATTTCCAGTTTTCCATGTTTTACAGGAATTGGGTGAGAGTGCAGAAATTTCCATAATATTTATTATTATTGCATTGTAATTTGTCTGTATGATAACAAAACATCTAAGTAAGAAATTAAAATCCTAGACATGCTTTTTTCCTTTTTAAAATCAGCAACCAAAATCTGGACAGGCAGACTTAATATCCATTAGTATTTTTTCTGTGTAGATAACACATTTGTTGGGAAGTTTTTGAACAGTAAAGTTTGATTAATAGAGAATAAAAATGGAAATATTAAAGATTAGTAATAAGAAAAATTCAGAGTTTATAATGTGAAATTTTCTTAATTAAGACATAAACTATGTAGCTCAAATATAACTTATTTGTAATTTTTCAGAATGGGAAATTTGGGCTTAAGGTTTGTGGTTGAGCCCACTAAAAATAATTTCATGAAATCATGGGAACACGGGCTAACATCATGAAAACCAATTTCAAAAGACACCATGTGTTATCTATCACATAACTCTTGAGAAAAAAATCACAAGCTTACTCTTAGCTAAAGTACACATTGTAGGAACTAAACTAGGAATCACAATAATTTGGTTATTTGAGGTTATAAAGAAATTCGGGTCAGATATGTAGGGCAAAAATCTCCTAAGGTTCTTAATTTTCAATTAATATTTTTGCTTGTGTTACACATATTAAGCTCCCTGTAGGTATTTAAAAGTAAAAATTCTAAAACAGTAATTTTTTTAGTGAAGATGGAATAATATCTCATGATCCTCTCTTAATTGATCATTGATTCTTAGAAAAGAGCCTTTATTCATATTTTTAAGTTAGACAAACTCAGTTTTTCTAATATATTCGCATAGTAAAAAAAATTTATCTTCATATGTATCAAGAGATATGACTATAAAATTATGAAAACATTTTTATACATGTAAATACCATAATAATCTGTATTCCTAAATTTATTTATTTGTCTTTTTAAGGTAATCTAAAAGGATCTATATTGACCAGAAAACTCTTTTTTGAAAGTTCTTTCAGAGACTATTAATAAATCATGAAAAAAAAATCAATGTCACTTCATGCAAAGACCAAATGTTACATTCATAACAGTGGCAAAATAATAAGTATACAAGAATAAATTTAATAAGAAAATTACTGAAATTACCAAAAAAAACACCTCTAAAAAAAAAACCTCTTTTAATCCCTACCTTATACAATTACAAATAACTTTGGAATGTTTTTAAAAATCACATTTACTTTCAATGATCAAAGATTGGCTCTCATTGATAATATTCAAAACAAAATACTAATTTCCTTGATGGCTATTTCTGCCTTTAACTGATAGTTATGCACAAAATTTTACAGACAATTATATCCTAATTTTACAGTAGAATTTTCAGGGACAAAACATCTCAAAAAGGCAACAAGAGGATTTCATTGTTCTTGTTTCTTTTCTCCATTAGTAACATGTTAGATATCATTCTTTTACACATCTCTTAGTATATGTATATAAATGTATACATAAGCAATTACATAATTTTATGTGAAAGAGATCATAATATCTATGTTGTCTTTCTCATGGAACTCTTATTTTGAGTACCTCTCTTCCCCTCTCCTCCACTTTTGTCATTCCTCCCTCTGCTCCTAGACCAGAAAAACCAGTGCTACATGAATAAATGTAGTGTCTATTATCCACATTTTTCTCCATGTAAAAGAGATTTTAAAATGCATTGCTTATTTTACAATAACGAAATTGTATTATTTATATTTTTCTGTATCTTACTCTTCTCAGATAACTATACATTGTGGAAATTCCCAATTCAAGTGGAATAACTATTTTTTCATTACTAAATTATATTCCAAAATATTAATGTACTATGATTTATTTAACTGTATCACAGTTGCTGCATCTGGTCTTTGCCACCTTGAAAAATATTGCATTGAATATTCTTTGTATATTTATCTTTGTGTAGTGGTGCTTTATTTATAGGATATATATTAAAGAGAATATAAAAAAGACAGTAGAACAAAAGGTATATATGTATATTTTTTAAAATTAAATGGGAGTCTAGAAAATTGCTTTTCAAAAAGGCTGTTGCAATTCATATTTCCACAAGGATCATTTAAGAGTAGAACTTTTTTCACCTCAGTCAGCAGTGAATATTTTTATTCATTTTAATTTTTGCTAATCTGATACATGAGAAAATAGGTACCTGTGTGTATATGTGTGTATGTGTCTGCACATGCATGTGTGTGTCTATGACACAGATTTGAGCATCTTTCAATTTTACTTATTGGTCATTTTGATCTTTTCATCTGTAAACTTGCTTCTTCGTATCCTTTACTCATTCTTCTTTTAACTTGTTTGCCTTTTCCTTATCTATTTTTAAATTATTTTTATATTATAGACACAAATCCGTATGTTGCACATACATGGTAACATATTTTCCAACCGATTGTATGCTCTTTAACTGTTAGATTCTCTTTTGCTATGCATTAAAATTTTAGAGTAGTTATGTTTTTATATTGGCTTTCTTCTCTTGAATAAGGATTTCTCTAATCTCTATGTTATTTAATTGTCTCCTAAATTTATTAGAAAATATCTATGCTGTGAGGTAGGAGCCAAACCTTATTTACTTCCAGACTGACTGCCAACAGTGACAGCACAATTGACATTAAATCAATTGCCCTTT